CAGCGCATGAAAGCTGAATTCGAAACCTTGAAGGGTGAATATCATTCCGTGATTCCCGAGTTAATAGTTTACCCGCCGCCAAAATTTTCACGAGGCCGTAGGTGATACCCGAGAGCGCGGGAACGCTGAATTTGAATGAGCAAGGTTGAGCGTGGGCAGGGGGTCATTACTCTAAAATTTCAGTCTACTAGACTCCTTGGTTCCCGAAATATTAATTTACCCGTAAAAAACTTTCACGGGGCCATATGTGTTACCCGCGGGTACGAGGAAGCTGAATTTAAATTTGCGGGGCCACACGTGGGTAGGGAACGTTCCTCTATTTCAGCTTCCTAGCTTTTGTGGTTCCCGAGTTGAAAGTTGCGGACAAGTTGCTGCGGACACACATATACACACACAGACAACCCGTGACAATATGCGTCTTATACTGCTGTTACACAGCAAAAAACGCATAATTACCAGTGTGTCTGCATTTCGCACTTTCTTATGCATTAACTCAAACAGCTGTCTCCTGACCCACAACGAATGAAAACATCATTTTGATGTTGGCATAATTAATCCATTGGATACAGAGAAAACACTGGCAAAATTTCAGCATCAAAGCTTGCGTGGTTGCTACGGCACAGATGAATACACGAAAAAATCAGATTACAGGTAATATGTCAACAATGCTCGTGTAACGATAACTGATACAGGTAACCATCCAGTGTTGCTCGTGCAATGCTCGAGTAACGCACACTTCCCAACGGTACACGCATACAGACAGGGTAGCCGCAATATGCACCTTTGCTGTCTGTTGCAGCGTTCTAGCGACAAGAACGCACAAAAATTGTTGCACCGGGACGCAAATGTAGCTGTTGACTTTTTTCAAGCGCTTTTCGTATTTTTCTAGGCGTTTGTCCGGATTTAAAAAAAAATACATCATTTTGCTGTGGATATATCTACTTCGCTGATCTTGACTATTGCTTAGTAATATTTCAGAGAGTGGTGCTCCGGAAAAAAATAAAAGACCAATACAAACCGATCGAAAGGCCCGCTAGATTAACACACATAAATCGAACTGTCCATGAGCATGAGCTGGAAGGCTGCAGTTATGAGACGAAGAGCCTAGACTAGCTAAGCCGGACCTGTGGATGCATTTCAGTATCCTAAAATCTCAGCTTTCCAGCTTTTCTGATTTCCAAGTTTGCATTTCCCGCCAAAAAATTTCACGGGCCGTATATGAGAACAACGTATGAATGGGGGTTGAATTTGACAAATTTAAGTTGTACAAGGGCTGGAAACA